CTCCTGATAATGCAGCACCTTTTTCTCCTACCATTGTATCATATCCTTCTGGAAGATGAGAAATGAAATCATGTGCATTTGCCATTTTAGCACATTCAATCATTTCTTCTTCAGTTGGTGTTTCTCCATCTCTTGCTCCAAGCATAATATTTTCTCTGATAGTACATGCAAACAAAATAGGTTCTTGTCCAACTAATCCTATTTGATTTCTTAACCATTTAATATTTAAATCTCTTAAATCTTTTCCATCTAATTTAACTGATCCACCAACTGGGTCATAGTTTCTTTGGACTAATTGAATAGTAGTTGATTTACCACATCCTGATGCTCCAACTAATGCAACTGTTTGTCCTTTTTTAATTTCAAGATCAAGTCCACCAAGAATTTGTTTAGTTGGTCTTGTTGGATATCTAAATTGAACATCTTCTAATGTAATATTTCCATTACACTCACTTGGACATTCACCAGCTGTAGATCTACAATCAATATCTGGAATTCTATCAATTGTTTGATAAATTCTATATGCAGAAGCTTTAGCTGTAGCAAATATATTTAATGGAATAGCAATGATAGAAAGTCCTTGAGTTGCAATTAATACACAAATAAAGACAATCATGACATCACCAGCAGTAACACTTTTCTTTCCTCCTTTTCCTCTTAATACAACTGAAGCATACCAACTTCCTAATGAAAAAGCACCCATAATAAAGAACATAACTGCTCCAAGTCCTAATCCAACAGTGAGACCTTTTAGAACACTATAATGATCAACAATTCTAATTTTTTGATTAAAGATTTCACAAAATTCATGTTCTTGACCAAGCGATTGAACAGTTCTCATATTACCAATTGTAGCTTCAGCAATGGCACCTGCACTGGCAAGATGTTCTTCTCCTAATACAGTGAATTTTGTAGCAAATACAGCTAATAATGTCATAGATAAGACAATAAATGGAGACATTGACATAATAACTAATGTAAGATCCCAATCCTTTGCAAACCCAATTGCATATCCAGCAATGAATGAAGTAGTTGTTTGGAAAATAATACCAAATTTTTGAGACATTCCATCTTGAATTTGTTGGACATCAGAAGCAATTCTAGAAGTTAATTCACCAGATTCATGGAAATCATACCAACCAGCATCTTGTCTTAATAATGCTCTGAAATATAACATTCTAATTTTAATTCCTTGTCGTTCTGACATAACAAAGAAACAAAAAGTCATTAAGAAAGAACCAACACCACTTCCAATAGCAAAACAGACCATCTTTAATACAAGATCATTAATAGTGTCTGCAACAGTTTCAGTGACTTGGTGATTAAATGGAAGATAATAATTCGGATCATACATTGCATCTGGACTTGGGAAGGCTTTCATAAGATCATTTGTATTAAAAGTATCAACCATATCTCCCATAACTAACATTTGACATGGAGTTAATACACCACATCCAATAGAACCAAAAATACCAACAGCAAGAAGAATTAAATCAAGCCAATTAGCATACCTATATAATTGCCTAACAGTAACACTTCCTGAATCTTCTGGTTTTTTATTTTTTCTTGCTAACTCATCTGGGTCAGGTGTAACATCAAATATAGCAAATGCATCAGTAATAGTGTTTGTTGTTACGTTCATCTTAATTAATTTTGTGTTTAATTGAATTTTGGAGTGCGTTTAAAAACCAGTCGAGTCAGAAACAATTACCAAATTTAATCCAATTGTATTGAAGAAAAGGAGAATTAGAGTGAATCTTTACTTAAAAATTTCGATTAAAAACTCAATTAAGTTAATTCCAAGCTATTTCATTTAAAAATAAATGGTGTTAATTGAACCTTTTTTCTTTTTTAATAGTGACCAAATGTATTATAAATACTTTAAATGAATTATTTACTTTCTTAGGAGACTCCTTCGAGTGAACTTACTTCATTCAAATCTGCTTCAATTTTTTTATGAAAATGATAAATCTTTTCACAGAATTTTATTTTTAATTACATTATAAAATATTCATTTTTATTACCCTTGAATTATTATATTCAAATAACACTTCTTTTTTATTTTATTAAATATTGATATTAATAACAAATTGTTTTTTTTTTTTGTGATTTATCTTTTTTTTAAATTTTAGTATATTTTGTATTTATCTTGAATTAATTATTCAAAATTTTATTTTAAACAAAATAAAGTATGCTGAAAAAACTGATTTTCTCACTTGTCAACATAACGAAAACATAGTTACAGGTGATTTATAATTGATTTCTTTTTTGTCTTGAGTTGGTTGTTCTATTTGTTTAATGTGTTATTCAAAAAATTTTTTTAACTTAAGACAATTGATGAGTATTTAAAAAAATAATTATAAGTGATATACAATTCTTATTTCTTTAAATAATCTGGAAATATAGTAATTTTACAGTTATTGAGTAAACCTTATTATTTTCAAATCATTAAAAATAAACAAAAGTATAATTTAGTTTAAAGTAAAAGCTTAAACAAGTTTTTTTTGAAAAAAAGTACATACTTCTTGTGATTAGTCATGACTTAATATTTTAATTTTGTTTAGTATCTTTTAAATAAAACTTCAAATGGAGAATTTAAATTAATCAAATCCGTCTAAAAGGAAATTAGCAGCAAGTTGTTCATTTTTATCACATGCAATATAAGCTTGAAGACATTGTGATCGACCGAATCCTAAAGCACATAATCTGTCAATAGCAGCATTGTCTTCTGGTGATAATTGTGGTTGAGAAGGGGCATGATTTGGTTGTTGTGGAATGGGTTGTGATTCAGAAGGAACTCTATTATTATTTGTTTGACCTTTAATAATGTCATAGACCATACCAGGATTATTTCTCATAAGTTGAGCAAGTTGTGGATTTTCTGATTCAATGTGTTGAAGGAATGGTTCAATAATTTGAGGTTGTTCTCTGCATAATTCAATAAATTGTTCTTTTGTTAAGTTAAGAATAGAATTTGGTTCTTGAGGATCTTCTTCTTCATAACCACCTGCTGGTTGATCGGGAATATTATCTAAATCAACACCACTAATAAGAAAATCAGCAGCAATTGCAGTATTATTTTGTGATTTTCTCAAAGCTTTAATAGCGTCGTCTCTTAAAAATCCCATTTCAACTAAATGATTAATGTTTTCTTCAGTTGGTTCAACATTAACTTGTTGACGTTGTTGTGGTTGGAAAATATCAACTGGTTGTGTTGAAGGTTGATTTGTTGTAATAGGTTGAGTAGTGACTTGTGGAACTGGTTCAGTTGGATGATTTTCTGGTTGAGTTACAGGAGCAGGTTTAGGAGCAGGGACAGCACTCTGAATAAATTAATTTAAAAGTTAAAAAGAATAATAATAATTAAATAAAATATAAAATAAAAATAGTTCTTATAATAAAATAAATACAAACCTTCTTAACTACCATAACAATTGAATCACCTTCATTAATACCTAAACCACCAAGGGTTTGGGCATTGTCTTTAAGCATACGAGATTTATAAATAAGAGAAATATTTTGAATATCAATTCCTTGTTTAGCATTAATCATTCCTTTAAGTTCACCAACTGTAGTTGTTTCTGGTTCAATTTCGTATTCATTTAATACTCCTTGAATAGTCTTGACAATAATTTTCATTTTCTATATGTCTTGTATTTGGAATAATTAGTTTTAAGTTCTTTTTTAAATAGAACTTATTTGAGGTTTGAATTATTGTTACTTTTTTCTTTATTTTTTTATAAACTTCAACGCTCTTTTCTTTGTTTTTATTTTAAGTTCTAATTAAATAAATATAATAATTTTTTTATTAGTTTTCATTAATATTTCAAAATTATTAGTTCTTTTCTATGATATTACTTTTTCACTAATTAATATTTTGTAATACACTGCAAAATTAATTGTATTATTATTGATTTATAAAAAGTTGAACGTAATCAATTATTTTTTGACATAATTTTTCATAACTCTTTTATTAAAATCCTTTAATTTTTATAAATCATTCTATTTCTTTTTTTAAACAATAAAATAATTTTTTAAATGATAAAACTGATAACTAGAGGTTTCTACAGTGTTTTGTGTTAAATGATTAAAATATATTAGATGAAATGGAAATATTAAAATATTAAATCCTTTATAGGAATTTTTAAAAATATTAAGTCCCTTTAATTATATTTGATTTATTAAATAGTAAAAGAAAGAAGTAAAGACATAAGAAACTAACTAAAATAAAAGGAAGTTAAAAGGTGAAATTTCTTATTAAGTAATCTTATTTTAAAATTAAGAGGAAGAATATTCAAATATTAAACTAATAATATATTTAATATAATTATATAATTGAAATAATTTAAATGCTAAAAACGTAGATTCAACGTTGTTTAAAGTGAATAAAATGATTCTATTTTATAGGTTCTAATAATTTCTTAAAAAAGAAGTTAGAGATAATCAATTATTCTTAAAGATTACTCTAAATTCATTTTTATATTAATATGAATAATAAACTCTTTCTCTTTGTATTGTTTTATATAGGATGTCATTGTGCTACATTAAAAGAAACAGTAGTTACTAAACACCAATTAGTTCCTTTGTCTGAATGTACTAAAGCTAGAGTTACACATTATGATATTGAAACATGGAATTCAGGTACTGCTTGTTCATTTGGGGAACAACCAACACAAGTTATTCCTGGGTATATGTTTGGAGGTTCATTAAATGAAGCGTTTTTTGACCATAGTAATAAGTGTGGTATTTGTTATGAAGTTGTTGGTCCTAAAGGAACAGTTAGGTTTAGAGCTGACAACAAATGTGCTGTTCAAGGAAATGAAAAATATTGTAGTGGAGATATGCATCATTTTGATTTAGTTGAAAATACTTTCACATATGTTACAGATGAAGAAGGAATATCCAATGTAACTTTTAGAATGGTTGCATGTGATTATACAGGAAACTTAAAACTGAAAACATACTCTGGTTCAAATAATTACTTTTTAGAATTTGTTGTTCATGAACACACCCTTGGTATAACTAAATTATTATTAAAAGATAATGAAATGAAAGAATTTGTTAATGTTCCAAGGTCAGAATATAATACATGGAGATATGGGAACATTGGAAGAGCATTTAGTTTTCCAGTTACTGTCCAAGTTTATTCGATAGCTGGAACTTATGTTACTGTAAGTGTTACTAATGGAAATGAGGGACATACTTTTGAGGCAGATGGTAATTTCAAAATTCCAAACAATAAATATTTTGATATTGATACACTTGAAATGAAAGATATTCCAACCGGTACCACAGAATGCTGTTCATTAATGGAAGATGATTATTCTACTCTTTACAAAGAGGGAGATGTTCAAGGAACTTATAGAAATTTACCTGTAAATGCCGATATAACTTTAAATGATAAGGAAAATCCAAAGAATGGAGAGTATTGTTTGAGAGCTGACATGAATGGTTGGGGGGTTAATCCAACTAAATGCCTATCATCCGGCACAAGCAGATCAATACACCCCCTTCATTTCTTTTTAAAATCAAAAGACAAGTGTTCGAATTGTTTTAATGTCCAAGCACAAGGCCTGGATAACGATGGGTTGACTATTTCAACAAAAGAAGTAGGGGAATGGACAGAATTTAAAATTCTTTTGACAGACTTAGGAGTTACTAACAATGAGTTTTGGGGGTTTAGAGGACAAAACATGAATAACGATAAAAAAACTTTCTGGCTAGATGATATTGAGCTCATTAAAGATCCAGATGCCCCAGATGCTGGCAAATGTTATAACACTGATGTCAATTACATACCAAATACTTATACTGATGATGATGATTTTAATAATTCAACTTCTTCATCAAAAGATGGAGAGACAACAGGTAGTAATTCAGACACAACAATAGATAGTAGTTCAGACACAACAACAGGCAGCAACTCAGAAAATGAAGATGGGTGTTCTCATTTGTTGGTATGTTAGTGGGTGTTTTCATGATATTCCTTGTTTAATTGAGTGATGACCACATTTATTTTTATTTAAATTATTTATCAAAACACTATATTTATTCATTCATTATTTTATATGTTTATTATCATTTTAGAAGACACAAGGACAGGATTAACCTCCCTTGGATAGAAATATAGATAAAAGTTCTATTATACTTAATTAATTATTTTTATTATGTTTGTTATCATTTTCTTCTTAATAATAAAATTTATTAAAATATCTTGTTTATTTTAATGTGTTGTTAAATATTTCTTGATTCCTTCTGGTGTTGGTTCAATTGTGTCTTTCCCTGCTTTCCAATTGATTGGACAAACTGCTCCATGTTCATCACTAAATTGAATTGCTTTAACTATTCTAATAGTTTCTTCTGTTGATCTTCCAATTCCATCATCGTTCATTTGAATGTATCTTACTTTTCCTTTATCATCAATAATGACATATCCTCTTCTTGAAACTCCTGTTTCTACATTTAACATTCCATATTTAATTGAAATACATCTTTTAATATCTGATACTAATGGGAATCCTAATTTTCATACTCCTCCTTTACTTTTATCTGCTTCACACCATGCTTGATGACAATAAACTGAATCAACACTCACTCCAATAACTTCACAATTGATTTCTTTCAATTGTCCTGCAACTTCACTATATCCAATCATTTCTGTTGGACAAACAAATGTCCAATCCAATGGATAAAATAATAACACAACATATTTCCCTTTATATTCATTAATATCAATTTCTTTGATTGAACCACATGGACAATATGCTTGTGCTTTAAATTCTGGTGCTTCTTTTCCAATTTGTGCTTTTTCAAATGTGTTCATAAATTTCTTAAATGCTTTAATTCTTGGACAACAACATTCTTTCTTACAATACTCTTTACAACATTCTTTCTCTTGACATTCTTTCTTACAGCACTCTTTCTTACAACATTCTTTTTGTTGATTGCAGGACATTTAACTGTTTGAAATGATGAGATTGTGATGATGAGATGTTTAAATAACAAATGAACTACCAAAACCATCTTTACATAATTAAAATAAGAATGTCATCATCATCACATGTGCATTCTTATCATTCTGTGATTTATTCATCTTTCTTTCTTCTTATAATGAATGAACTGGTAAATAGAAAACAAAAATGACAAGATAAAAAAGAAATCGGAGATACACAAAATCACTCATTCGAAATGGTTGTATTGAAGAATATGATGAAGAGAAAGACGAGTATATTGGCACAAAACATCAATAAGAGTATTATTTTTGTGTATGTAACAGGAAAGTGATACGTCATCGAATAAAAATATTTTAAACCAAGTTATAGTAAAACAAAAAATAAAGAATTAACTCTGTTTACTTATAAATAAATAAAAGGATAATGATGAGGTTATTTAAATCAGAGAAGGTTTTTAAGTCATAGCCTTGTTTATTGAGAAGTTGGGATAATATTATAGTAAGTTAGTTATTTTACTTTTTCAAATATATTATCAAATAAAGTATTAGAATAATGAAAATTTTCAAGAATGGTAGTTTGGTTATTAATTAATAATTTGAATATTATTTTAATATAGTATTAAGTTGCTATGTTTAGGTGAGTTGTTTTGGTTAAATTATTTTGTTAATATAATCTTCTTGGTAATCTTTAAATAACAAAACAAATTCTTTAGCTAATGAAGGGAAGAATGAATTCACAAGTTAAAGAAATGGCTATAAGAGGTATTGTTATTATTAAATCATTTATAGTAAAAAATGATTTTATTGACTGTATTAATAAAATAAAACGTAGTAAATGCTGTTAATTATTAAGTAAATTATAACTACTTTTTATTGTTAATGGATTATAATTCTTTTTAATTCATTTGTATGTCTGGGTTTTATAAGAGATCATATTGTAATATTCTTTAAATTTATATGATTTATGCTAGAGAGTTATTTAATTTTATACAACACAAAGTCTTTTAAATATTTATGTAAATTAAATTAAAGTTCATATGTAATAAGTTTCAAAATAAAAAATAAAATTATCAAACTGTTGTTATAATTAAAATATAATAATTTTTAACAAAAAAAAACAATAATTAAACATTATAATTAATACTTTATTTTGGAATCCACAATCTTAGTTTTGGATTGAATTTACATATTTTTTTTAAGATTTCTTTAAAAATTCTACATTCATTATTTCCTTTTACATCATCAGCAAATTTGTCTATTACTTCATTAGTACTAACTCCTTTACCATTTTTACTTTCAATAAAATCAGCCAATCTTTCTGCGATTGATTTCTTTTCTGAGTTTGATTTGTTTATATCTCCTGATTTCTTTTCTGTCATCATCTCTCTTTTTTTTTCCATTTTTAGTTGAAGAATTGCTCGTTCAGCAATTTTTTGGGTCTCTTCATCTGTTAATCTTTTTTCAATATCAGTTAAGTCTCTAGACTTTTCTTCAATGATTTGATTAATTCCATTTTCATTTTTATTATAAATATTATTCATAAGATCACTTTCAGTACTTTTTTTATCATTTGTTGTTTCTTCTTCTTTTTCTCCTTCAATTTCATAGATTTCTTTTTGGTTTTCATCAACTAATTGAAAAAATTCACGAATAAATTGTTTTTTAAATTGTTTTCTTGTTTTTTCTTCTTCATTACATAAAATTTTATCAGACAATATTTCTTTTGCCATTTGTTTTTGATAAATATGTTCTTCTATTGTTCCTGAACAAATAAGTCTATAAATGATTACATCTCTATCCTGTCCAATTCTTAATGTTCTTTCTTTTGCTTGAGAGTCAACTGTTGGATTCCAATCTGGGTCATACATAATTACTCTATCTGCTCCTGTTAAATTAATTCCAAGACCACCAACTCTAGTTGTTAAAATAAATACTAATACTGTTGGGTCATTATTAAATTGTGAAATATATTCTGGTCTTTTATTACTACTAACAAGACCATCCATTCTAAGATATTTGAATTTTTCATTTAACATCATTTGTTCAATAATATTTAACATTTGTCGAGTTTGGCAAAAGATAAGTGCTTTATGCCCTTCTTTTTGAAATTGTTTAAGTAAATCACATACATATTTTAATTTACTACTTTCTTTATATATTGTTTCAGGTGTTAAATCTTCGGTTTTATTTATCAAATGTGGATGATTACATATTTTTCTTAATGTATCTATTGCTGCTAACATATCCATATCTCCATCAATAACTTTTGCTATACTACTTGAATTAACATATTCTAAATACATAGATCGTTGTTTTGGTGTCAATGGACAATAAATAAATTTTTCTTGTCTTGTTGGTAATGATGGAAGTACTTCTTTTTTTATTCTTCTTAAAAAAAATGGTGCAATCATATCTCTCAATCCTTTAGCACATTTGAGTGCAGCCATAAATTGAAAGTATGATGCTGATGTATATGATCCGTATCTAATAGGTTTAATAAATTGTTGTTGAAACAAAGGTAATGTACCAAGTTTACCTGGATATACAAAATCAAATAATGACCATAATTCACTTAAGTTATTTTGAATTGGTGATCCACTTAATAATAACCTTTGATGAGCTTCTAACAATTTAACTGCTTTTGAAATCTCTGCATTAGGATTCTTAATTTTATGACCCTCATCTAATACAATACAAAACCAAGGATATTCACTTAAAATATCTTTATGTATTCTAATAAATTCATATGTAGTTAAATATAATGAGTTGTGTGTTGTGTTTAATAAATTAATATTGTCTTTATTTGTAGATGATAAATCATTATGTAATATAATTACCCTCAACGAAGGAACAAATCTATGTGCTTCTGAAACCCAATGTGGTATTAGAGTTAATGGTGCTACAACAAGTGAATTACCACATGTTAATGTTTCTGTTTTTTCTTTATTAAAGAATGTACATTGCAATCCCTCTAAAAATGCAAGTACCATTAATGTTTTACCTAATCCCATTTCATCTCCAACAATCCCTCCTGCATGTTGTTTAAATAATTCGTACATCCATTTTACACCTATTCGTTGATGTTCAAATAATGACTGATATAATTCATTTCTCATTACTAACCCACTTTTAAATATTTTTTTTTCTCCTAATGGAACTACAGAGTCTTTTGTTTGTTTAACACTAAACCCCATTTTTTCTAGTCGTTGTTTGTATACCCCTTCGATGGCATCATCTGTCCATTCTTCTTCCTTTTCAAGATGTTCTACATATTTAACATCTTCTTCTTTTACTTCTTTTTTAATTTCTTCTTCATCTACATCTTTAAATCTATCACTCTCATGTGGGACTATTGTTTGTTCATCTCTTTGTTCTTCTTCATCGATTATATCATCTTCTTCATATGTACGCTTCATGTCTCGGGGTTATTTGAGTTTTTTCTTATTCTTTTAATTTTTATTTTTTTAAAATGTTTGTTTAAATAAATAAAATCACTTAGCAGTTATTTTTATTATTAATTCATATCCACTATTCTTTCGAGTATTTGAAATATGTTATACTAGTTTTTATTTTATTTCAATTTAATGCATATTACTTTATGTTAAATAGTTACAATAAATAATTTGTAATCGTTTTTTGAATATTTTTTAATATAATTCGTTAATGATCGATTAGATAGCATTAGAAATACAATTATAGATTAATTAATTAAAAAAGAAATGTATTAATACTATATCTTAATACAAGTAAATTATATAATCAAAAATATGAGGAAATAAATATTTAAAAATTGGTTTATAATGACAAAATAAAAGCACTTTCAATTTCTATTATTTTTTTTTTTGACTAATTAATATGCATTGTTTTATTAAATGATATTATTGTAAGGTTATTAATTAAAGGCAACGAAAAAAAGCAAATAAGAGAAAAATGATGAAAAAGAATGATATAAAAGAAAAAAGTGAAATTAGGAAGTAGAAGAAGATGAAAAGAATAAAAGTAGAATGTTGAGATTATAAAATGAAAGAAGATAAAAAAGAATAATTCAAAAAGAGATAATAAAAGGTGAAAATAATGATGAAATAAAGGATGCACTTTTTTATTATAGAAATTAGAAATATGCAATAAAAAAAGCGTTTAATTTATTGATGCAAAATATTTAACATTATTTTATTGATATAATTTATTTTATTCTTTTTTATTTTTATGATTTTTATTTATATATATTATTTATTTTTTTTTCTTTTTAATATATTGATTATTTTAATTTATTATTTATTATTATTTTATTTATTATTCTTTATTCTTTTATTTGTTCATTTTTATTTTATTTATGAAATATTTCATTATTATAAAATAATTTTATTGTTTAATTATTTAAATGATTTATATTAAAATGAATTTATTTTATATTTCATTGTTTTCTTTTATCTTTATTTTATATTTTAATAATTTCTTTAATATTATCATTTTATATTATTATTATTATCTTTATTCTTTCATATTTTTATTATTTATCATTATTATTGTATTTTTCATTTCTTATTTTATTTTAATTTATTATTAATATTATTTATATTTCTTTTCTTTCTTATTATTCTTCTTTATTCTTATTATTTCTTTATTTCTTATTTTTCTATTTTATTTATTTTATTTATTTTCATTTGATTCTTATTTTCATTTCTTGTTTTGATTATTTTAATTTAATTTTAATTTTAATTTTTATTATTATTATATTTTTGATTATTCTTATTTATTTATCATTCATTTATTAT